AGACTCGGAAGATGCAGACTCATTCTTTCCTTGCAGCCTTGCCCTCTTCAGTGTATACGTACAGACATTTCAAAAGCACTATAGCGCTGCTATTAAGGTAAGTGTAATATCCATATCTACACCAAATCAGTGACCAACATAAGATTTAACAACCCAAAATTAGGTTCAAATACAATATGTCATAACTGAAGTACTCAATGTCTTTAAATTATCATTCTTTGTGTAGCCTGTAACATGTTTCTATCATTATACAATATAATGACATTCACACTGATAAGCAGTCATCAAATTTTAAAACTTGAAAATATTAAAATCTAAATCTATTAGGTAATGTGGTGTAGTATAATATTTCTCTATCAAATTAATATTGATACTGCTTCAATCTGAATTTTGTGTTCCTGTTCCTTTTATTTCCCACAGTTCTGCACTGCTCTTGCTGTGGTTGCAGCTCCAACAGTGTTTTTAATCATCCGTGGTATGTTCAGGAGACGCTTCTTGTCTCTGCACTAGAACCAAGGTTGTTGTGACACTTGCCTGCAAACAAACTGAAGGACTATGTGGAAAACTCAACCTTCATTAGCACAGAAACACCACAACAGCTTACATATTGGTTACTTGGGACAACTGTACGGAGCAAAGCTGACATAAAAATGAATGTATTTTTTGTATATGTCTGTGTCTGTAATCTCTGTTTACTGCTGATAAAAAGACTCGCTTTTATTTTATTTTTTAATTGAATAAATCATAAAGATTGCTGTTTCCTCTGTTGATTATTTCATCTTGGTTCATTTGTGAGTGAATGACCATCCACCATCACCACTTTTAAGTAAACAAACTAAACACATTTGTTTAAAAGCAGTAATAATATCCACAGCCCTGCCACTGCCACTATATATATATATATATATATATATATATATATATATATATATATATATATATATATATATATACACACACACAATGCTACTTACAAACAGAAAACAATCCAGAGAATTTCTATAGCAATTTATATTCTAATAATCAGAATTAAACAAGTAGTCACTGACAACTCTCCTCAGAACAAATTAGTTCAGCCACATCTTAATAGCAGTCTCAGAAGAGTTTAATTCCCCCTGGTTCTATTTTGGGGAATAATTTGGCATTTGGGTGTGTGTGTGTGTGTGTGTGTGTGTGTGATGATAATATGACAAATGTTTAGTTAATTAATTTTACGATAACATTGCATCCTTCTACTGAGCTGAACATATGCTCACATTTTAAGATGGCATCCTGAAGAAAAAAAAAACTTAAAACATCTAAAGAAAAAACAATTCACCCTACCATATTCTTTAGTAATATCACTTAATGAATTAAGCATATGTTTGATATTCCTTCGTTACTGGGAAAAAGTATGAAAAGAATGCAGAAATCTGTGCCGAAATATTTTTTCAGGCTAAGGCAGGGGTCGGCAACCTGCAGCTCTCGGGTGGTTTGGGAAAAGAAATATTTATTAAAGTATTTAGCTGAAGTGTATTTTATTTGTGTTTAGTTCTTTTTTAACTTGTAGTTCTAAATTGGAAGATTATTGTGATATTGAAATATAAAAATAAAATTGTATTTTTTTTTTTTTTCCATCGCTCAAAATAAGCGTCACACTCGCGGAAGCCGGTATACCCGCCGTGTATTTATCAAGACTTTCAACCCCAGATAGGCCAATTATGGATCTTCGGATCCACATTATGTCAGCAGCTGTTCTCCACCGTGAACTATGTTCATAACAAACACCGCTCACGCCTCATAGATGATAGCTTACAGTCTTGCGTAAAGATGAAAGTGACTTCGTACAGCCCCGATTTGCAGACGGTGTGCGCAGAGGTTCAGGAGCAGAAGTTCCATTGAAAACTACCACGGCAGACCCGCTGCTTTTCAGCATCTCTTCACTGACCACTTTTCATACACGGTTGCTGTACGCATACAGCCGGCTGTAGCTTTTCAGCTCACAGCCCGACAACACAACAGCAGAGAGAGCACAGACTTTAAGGCAATGAGGCATGATTGCGGGTGCCGCTCAGGTGCTTCCGACTCCCATGCAGCGGCGCTGCAGACACCGCCCCGCCACACATTAACCAGGTAAAATACATATTTAGGCAGAATTTTGCAAATATCTATTTTTCATTTTATAGCAGCATAGTGCTTTTTCCCCCAATTATTTTTTAAAAGTCAGGTCAAGGCTCCAAAAGCCCAAAGGCGATATGAGGGTGGCGGCTCACAACAGTTTTTTTTTGCTACATGGATCATTTTAGTTCAGCTGGGTGTCTTTCCTTTTGTTATATTTCTTTAAAAGTTCAAAATGTGTTAATTACATAAATAAAATGTAATTTTCTCATTAGCACTTCATGGATACAATAAGCAACACACTTTAGTTGTTCACACAAAGCATAAAGGTAAAAAAAAACCCCAATATATACAGTGTTATTTTCATTTTAGATGTCAAAAAGTATTTGCGGCTCCCAGTGTTTTCTTTTGCGTGGAAACCGGGTCCAAATGGCTCTTTGGGTGTTAAAGGTTGCTGACCCCTAGGCTAAGGAATTTGCAGGAGTTGACAGGTGACAGGCTGAGCCATGTTGTTTTAAGCTAGCATTAGCCAAGAAGTTAGCCAATGCTATTGGCTACCCTTAGCTCCAGAAACAAAGGAATCTTTTTCACCCTTTTTTTTTACCCACATTGCAAAGCATAATAACATCATGACTGGTAAGTTGCAATGTCGAACCTGTTGAATTAATTAATGGATAGGTCAATGCAAGATTTTTCAGTTAGTTTTTTAAGCTACATTTTTATAGTATTTCTCCAGCTAAGTGCAAGGAAACTTACATTAAAACCGGGTTAAAATAGACTTGAAAAAACTACAGATTTGTCTTAACTCTTCATTGGATGAATTCAACAAGGTGGTGGAAACATTGCTCGGAGATTTTGGTCCTTGTTGAAATGATAACATTACACCATTACTGCATATTTGTCATCTACATAATTGTGATGCCACCACATCCCAAAGGTGCTCTATTAGACTGAGCCCTGGTAACTGTAGAGGCAACTTGAGTACAGTGAAAGTAGTAAGTACCATATAAATGTTACAGCCTTTAAAAAGACTCATCAGCTTTTTTCCAATCGTCTGTTGTCCAGTTTTGGTGAATCTGTGTGAATTGTAGCCATTCCTGTAAGCCATCAGCTTTAAGGTTTGACAAGTTGTGTGTTCAGAGATGTTCTACATTTGTTGTAGCAAGTGGTTGCTTGAGTTTCTGGTACCTCCCTGTCACCTTGAAACAGTCTGGCTATACTTCTGTGAACCCCTGCATCAACAATCCAGAGATCCATCCAACATCCAGAGGACTGCCATTCGCTGGATGGTTTTTCTTTTTCGGACCGTTCTCTGTTAACATTGGAGATGATTGTGTGATATAATCCGGTCATTTTGACCGTGTCTACATGACTACACTGAGTTGCAGACATGTAATTGGCTCACAAAATATTTGTGTTGACAAACATTTGAACAAGTGCACCTAATAAAGTGCCTGATATTTGTGCATCATAGGCAAATACCCCAACTAAGTAGAATAATTTGACAGCATGAAAACAAAAAGTAACAATTATTTATTCACTCATGAATGTACACTGAATGTACCTTAAATTTCAATTGAAATGCCCCTTCATGGTGTTGGAGATTTTTTTTTCATTTACTGGTGATGGAGGCTATGACTAATGTACCTATTGGACAGCAGCTTGCAGTCAGCAGGGAGACTGACCTTCAGCCTCCAGACCTGGATTCAAGTCCGTGCATCAGCTTATGTTTTTGAGAAAGTTCCAAAATTCTTAAAACCTGGAGCGTTTCTATTATCCAGGTGACCTCTGTTCTTACCACAGTGTTGAAAAGGGCAATGGCGTGGTTACAGAGGGTTGACAAATTAATGTCATCACCTCACTGATAATGACGTGAACCCTAAAGTAATACATCAGAATTACAAACACTGCCAAAATGGTCGGTTAAATTACAGGAGCCTGTCTGTCAGTTTAATATATGTCTCAAATTCCCAATACTACCCTGAACAATAGCTGTATTATACTGTGTGAGACATTAACCTCTCCAATTGAGCTGTTTAACAGACAGAGGCAGAATGGGTAGTTGGACAAGTGTTTTTGAAATGTAGAGATGGGTTTTGTGCTGTGTATTGCTTACATTATAAGAGAGTGGTGATTTCTGTACTTATATTAGTGATGATAACTATTTTGGCATAATTTGAAAAACCTCTAAATGGTGAACTGCCTGTTATCATTTTAATTTATTCTAATTTTACTGGGTCTAATAATTTTAACGGTTGACATATATGCCAGTAACAAAGAGAAATATACATGAGAAAAGCCAGTGATGTCTGAATAGTTGGTCTCACTTGTTCTTCCACTATTTTTTGCTGCTCTGATATATTACCACTATTTCACGGCCATTTTTATCTTGCTTCTTTTGATTTAGGACAGGGACTGTTATACAAAGCATATCTGTTTTTGTTCCCTTACTGTGACTTTAATATGTTTTCAATTACTTTGTACAAAGAGAGGTTATAGGGTACGCTGTCCAAGCTTCAATAAGGTTCTGCAATCATTGTAATTTAAGTGCACCATAGCCAGGCTTGTGATTTGAAGCTCAAAAGCTGAAATGTGGAGAGAAGTTGAATAGAAAAGGAAATGCCAGCACTTGGGAAATTTGAAATCAAATTAGTGTAACTCTGCAGCTTTTACTTTGTGCATGCTGGTTTACAATGAATGCAGCTCCTGACAATCTACATTATCAATGCAATCTGTCTCGCTTTTTCTTTTCTTCTTTTTCCCATCCACTGGTTTTGATCTCCTTTTTCTCTTTTTTTCATTTTTCCCATCTGTTTCTCTCCCTCTGTGTTTGCAGAGGTTATTTGGCTGGTGCAAGGAAAGAGAGCTGTGGCAGTTGAGTGTGTACAGATGAGGCGAAGGGAAGAAAGTCATCCAGGCGGTGAGCTTCACTCATTTGTGGGATATACAACTGAAAGGCTACACAGAGGTGCAGACACTGAAGGTACTGTGTTTGTTAGTGTGTGTATGTGGTTGTGTGTCTATTGTATTTGGGGGCGAGTGTAAAGTAGTACTAACTGCAGCACTTGTGGGCATTTTTAATCATTTCTTGTTTGCAGCACTGAAGACTTTTAGTTGGATTGAAGCTTTCCTTTTCAGAGACTTAAAAAGTTAGTTTTAAGTTCAAAGGAACATGTGTGGTATTTGTCAACTGTCATTTTTTAAGCTAAGTCTCCACATAACTGTCTTCAAGGATATCTGCTGTCTTTTCATTTTGGGTCTTCAGCGAAAAAGCTGTCTTTTCACTTTTGGTTAATATTCTGTATCTGTAATTTAATCTTAATCTTACAAGTTTGGGTTATTATGGAACATTGGTATACCGAAGCTGTAGTACTGTGTGCTCAGTATAATTAACTATAGCCTTGAAATATTTTATTTCCTTTAAAAATTCAATTCTGGACTAAAATCATATTTTTTTCATTTTTGCTATTTCTGCTCAAATCTTAAGCAAAATAGTGATATGTTTATGAGTCACTACGTTTTTCCATGTTAGAAATTATATGCCATAATCAGTGGGCCATAGATATCATAATGCAAGTGGTGTAATAAAAGCTATTTGAAAATTTGCAGCACACTCATTTTCTGGTAATTGTGGGGATCAGAGGAACTATAAAGAAAACACTGATCAACCATCTTAGTGCACCAATAAGGCCTTCTTTCTAATGTATAGATATATTGAACGAAAGCCAGCGACAATATTTAAAATGTCTTGGAGGACTTTTTAAAACCACTGAGTTTTTTCTAATTACATTTACATGTAAGAAAGAACATTCATCCACAAACTTTGTAATGCTGAAATTTAAGTAAGTTGAAATTTAGTGTTGTCTTCCAGTTTACACACAGTATGAAAACCTCGAGCAAGGATTGGAGCTGTCACTTGAGAAAACGAAAAACAGAGGAAATCAGTTTAGGCTTAAGGGAAAGAAAGTTGATGCTCACAAAGTAAGAGATGGATAAACAAAGCTATCACGGCATTTTCAAGTGTCAAGAACTATAGTGAGAAATATCATCAAGAAATTCACACAGTGCAGAACATGCCTGCCAGAGCAAACATTTCAAAGACTCTAGTTTTGTTTGAAAGAAAACTAGTGAGAGATGTGTCTTAAGACCCCAGTACAACTGGCAGCACATGAGTGAATCGCTCAGGCAAGTCGGGAATTGTGGTATAAAAGAAGACAATCAAAAGAACCCTACACAAGAATGGATTCCGAAGTTGCAGTGCAAGAAAAATTCCACTTCTGCACAAGATAAAACCTGCAAGCTAGACTGAAGTATCCTTAGGACAATCTGGATGGAGAATCTGCATCCAGATTGTCTGACCAAGTGCATCCCTCGGTCAGATAAGATGAAGCTAGAGCTAGAGCTCTTTGGCCATAAAGACTTGAAGCCCACTGAAAATCTGTGAGTTGAACTGAAGACCAAGCTCCATGCCAGCAGACCATCAAATCTAGAGGAGCTTGAGAGATTTCCCAAGGAAGAATGGGCAGATTGCTCAGGAGATGTGTGTGAGACTTGTTGAAAACTAAAAGAAAAATCACTACAGGCTGTTATCAAAAGCCTGATAACAGGCTTTTAATAAGCCTGTTATCAAAAGCATGTTATCACGCTTTTGATAACAGCCTGATAACAGCATCAGTTAGCTGATGCTAACTGACTGTTAGCATCAGCGGGTTTAATAATTTTAACCCTGGTAGTTCTTGTTTTTTGTGAAATAATTTTATTTTTGCTTGGAAAGTAAAATAATGTAAGGATCCAAAATAAAACTAGGATGTTTGGAAAAGCTGTGTTAAAAAAAAAATCCTTGCTCTATTTAACAGCACTTAGGAAATATTTGGAGAAAGAAATTTCATTTTCATCGGGAGGATATTAATTCTTCCTTAGCTGTCCTATATGTTGCCACTTTTCTAATCCTGGCACAAGAAGACGACGTTCCCGTTCTTTTTCTGGATTTCTGTGAGGGAAATGAGACTTTTCCAACCCAGAAAACACACTAGTGAACATCAGAATATGAAATTCAGAAAAAAAGAAAAATAAATCTGCAGGTTTACTTGTGTTTATTTTTCTTGCTGACTTTCTCAGGAATCATTAAAAACTGACTCCTTGCAGAACTTAGCAATTAGGTGAGAGTAAGTTCTCTTTTGTCAAATATGTGTATGTGTATGTATGTATGTCCTATATGTGTATTATTACAACATATAGGATTTTATGTTTCAATTATATATAACCCTATAATAGTCACAACTCTGACTATTACAAGTTGGGGTTGTAATCACATTAAATGTTCAGTTCTCCATTGTGGTTTTTGTATGTTGGATTAAGCAATACTCTACCAGACTGATGTGTTGTAATGGATGGTGACCAAGATTGTCTTCATATTGTTTAGTATTTGCAAGTCTTTTTTGTGTGTGTGTAATTATGAAATGGAGCCAAATCATCTTTTTCTTCAGTGTCAAGATTTGAATAAATGAGTGCATAAAAGTGTTAGGATATTGATTTTATTCTTCCTTTGGAAGCTCGTTGTTAAATGTCAGAATGAATGATAGCACTTCGTATACGTTGCCAGATAGTGTCCATGAGTTATTAAAGTGGGAAGATGGAGCTTTGCCCACATTTTACTTCACTTCATTGCTTAGTGAAGACAGAATATGTGTCTTTGCAGATATAAACACAGTTATGAGTATGCATCTTTTAATTAAGAGCAAGTAATAATAAGTATTTAATAGTGGTTACATACTGCCCAACCTCAGCTTTATTATGTATTTATTAACACCATTAATAAATCTTACACAGCCAAGTAAGTTGCAGATTATCATTTGAAGTGTCTGCTATGATCAATTATGATTATTATTGTTATTGTCTTGTACTACTGTTGTCTTTTCAAGTAACTTAGAGGTACTACTGGATTGAAATGTTTAATCATTTCCTGATGGTCTTACATTTCGAAAGCACATTTTGTTTGTTTCAGATTTCACATTTTTTTATGTATATATTTCTGAATGTCTTAATTCATCAAACTCTACATTTTATTAAAGGTAAACTGATAGATTTTATCTGACTTAGAACAATTGTAAAGCTATAAACCTATATTAATACTGTGCACCCGTTTATTATGGGCACCTTCATCCTGCAGCTGTTGTTTGTCCTGAACTGATTTTTGTACCATAAGTTAATTTCAGCTGTAATATTGTTATATTTTTCCAGGTGTCAGAAGGTACCATGGTCACAAGAAGCTTCAGTACTGCAGGATGCAGAGCTCTCACAGTGTGTGTAGCGCTTTCCCACTTCAAACTTCCTCTCATTTTCTGTGGTCACTTACTGGGTGTCCACGGTCAAGGTAGGAAGCCCCCCTAAATAAACTCTGTTTCTACTACACTGTGCTATGAGGCAGGAAACATGAAAAGGACCAGCTTTTATTTATAGTTCAGGACCACTGTAATCAGAAGAACATCAGTGTTTCCATATATAATCATTTATATTTCTTAGTAACACCCTAGTGAGGCCTTTCCTGCCCTTCCACTTGCATATGTCAAAAGCATAGGGAAGCATGGGAAGAACTTACCTCTCTCACACTTTCTGCTTCAGTTGAAAACAAATTTGTTATTTATAAAGTATCAAGTATCAATTATTCTCTGGTTCCAGGTGGATGTGTTTTGTTTTGCATTGTATTGTTGGAAGGTCATTTTCACTTGAATTTTTAAAAAATTCATTTTGGTCCCAAAACACAATAAGAGTAAACTTAAAGAACCTGCAACATCATATCCTAGGTAGAAGCACCAGTGACGCTATATGATGAGGTATGTAAGAATAACAGTTTGAATGTTGTTTTATATTTTGATAGATAAGTAATACAGCATGTTAAAATCTGTGCATAATCTATATAATGTGCAATAGCACACTATATGAGATCCGTAGTGAGCTGCAGAGCAAATTTAATCCCCATATCCTAGAGAGACAAGGCCACTATGCCCTCTGCTGTCAAGGCACTCCACTGGCTTCCATCCCTCCCTGTGACTGGTGTTATTTATAGCATGGCAGGAATAGGTACACTAACAAGTGACAAAAGCTTAAAATATACACGCACACGTATACACACTCACATATTCTGAAGAACAGACACTAGTGCACACTAGTTCCAACTTTCAGGGGTGGTAAGGGGCAGCAACAAGGTTAATGCATGAGAATCGAGTGCGGGGTATTCAGTCTTTATAAAATTAGCTCTGATTAATGGAGCTCAGTTGTGGCATGTGCTAGGGTAAAATGTGTGGGAGGACAGATGAGGACATGCCACACCAGAAAAAATAATTGATCCATCGTAAGAAGCAGATATTAAGTACTTGCCACAGTTCAGTTACTATTCTTCTTTAAACTGTTTTGTCTGTCACAGTAATACTGAAACATTTTTACTTAATGCTATAATCCACACTTGCTTATCAGATGCTTGCTTATCAGACGAAGAAAGCTTCCCACAGATCTTTTGACCTTAAACCCTGAAAGTTAGTTTTATAATTGGCTGAAAGCTTAAAAAAACAAAACAAAACAAAAAAAAAACGTGTTTGTGGTTGACATCTGGTTATTGGCTTCCCATGATTCTATGCCTTCTGTTGAGGATATGGTATTCTTGTCAAGGTGAACTGCCTGCTGCAGAGACACAGGCAGGAGATTTAGCTTGTTCTCTGTGCTGCCAGTTTGCTATGCTCTTCACGTGTAAGTAATGACACATCACATTATAAATAAACTGAAATAACTAAATCTAGTAGTTTTTACCCCTCAGTCATAAAAGGCTGATAGGGTATGGTAGTCAGCCTACTGGCTGGGTGGGCGTGTGGGCAGCTTGGACACCTAAGATTGTGAAAGTAATAACTCGAGAGCAAGGCGACATAGGATTATCAAATTGATGCAATAGGTGCAGCTAAAGAAAATCTTGGATGAGTTTGAATCTCAATGAGCTTGACCTCAAGGTCAGAGGTCAAATCTTCTGAAAATGTTGTGAATGCAGTAACTCAATAAGAAAGTCCTCTAGGCTTTTCAAATTGATACCAAAGGTTAAATCTTGGACAAGTTTGAATCCCGGTGTCCTTGAGCTCAAGGTACAGGTCAGAGGTCAAGTTTTCTGAAACAAGGAGACATATTTTGAACTAGTGTGTCTACTAGGAGGCTGAAGGGTAGCACTGCCAGTTGCTATTTTTTGACTATAAACATTAGACACTAAAACCACCAACATGGGTCATGGACTGCACTCCTTTCCCGCAGTTCTCTGCAACCTGCCCAGTTCTCCATGGTTATAGTTGTCTTTATAGTTGTGGCTCTAAAGTTAGTACAAAGCACAGCAGCAAAGCTATTCACCAACACTTCACTTGAGTCCTTGCAAAATTACTTTGGCTTCCTATTCACTACTTCTTCTTCTTTTAACTCGTCCCTTTAGGGGTCGCTACAGCAGATTATCTGCCTCCATCTCACCCTATCCCCAGGATCCTCTACTGTCACACCAATGCTCTGCATGTCTTCCTTCACTACATCCATGACTTTTCTCTGTGTTCTTACTCTTTTCCTCCTGCCTGGCAGCTACATTTTCAATATCCTTTGCCCAGTTAATTATCTTTTCATTGCAAAAGCCATCTCAGCCTTGCATCTTTAACTTTGTCTCCACAGCTGTGCCTCTGATGTAGTCATTTCTAATACTGCCCATTTTTGGTCACTCCGAGTTAAGATTTTAGCTTCTTCAATTCTGCCACTTCAGCTCAGCCTCCTGTCTTTTTGTACACATATCATAGCAGATCTCGCTACCATCTGGTAAACCTCCCCTTTAACTCTATTCTTCAGCCACAAATCACTCCTGAAATTCAGTTCACCCTGCTTGAAACCTGCTTGTACATTCTGTTGCTGTGAATTGTTGACCCCAGGCATTTAAACTCATCCACCTTTATTACCTTTGCTCCTTGCATCTTCACTTTCATCTTCACTTCACTGCATGCTCCACTTTATTTCTCAGAACAATAACTAATTCACCCTCAGAGTGGAGAATCAATTACAAAGGAGGGACTCTGTATTCACCATTTCTTTGGAACAAACTTTCTTTTATCATTAAATCAATGAAAGCTGTTCCCCATTTAAAAAAAAGAAAACAAAAATCCACCTGTGCAATTTGACTTTGGTGTAATTTCTTATAATATTTTCTTAAAATTTTCCTCTAGCCTCTTTATCACTTGTTTATATTTATATTTTTCTTTCATTCATTTTATGTATTTTGGAATGTTTTTATGTGTTTTTGTAAAATCTATGAAGCAACTTATAACTTACACATGACTTTGGTCAGTATTATTATTATTGTTATTATTTTAGATCTTGCTAATGATAGGACAGCCTTCATTACAAAATATGTATAAGTTAGCCAACTAGGTAAGGTTATGCTGATTACTATGAGGTCAGAATGATGCCTTCGGCAGTTCTAAGTATACAGTAAGTAGTCCTGTTGTTTTATTTATTTAATTTTTTAAAATATCCCACACACTCCAAAATTTACTATATGATGAATAAACCTCTTTTAAGAAAAGTGATGAAATATGCAATATGATTCAAAATTACCACTTTGGCATTTTTCAGTGTAAACACTGTTTTGTAAGATAAGCATTTTTGTCAACACACTGTAATACTTTTGGCTGATGTAAATCAGTGTCACCCAGAGGTATGAGCTCATGTTACTGCTGCACTCATTCTTAATTGCACTGGTTAACTGCATCATCAAATAGCCTAAAATAGGAAGTGTACTGTATGCTCATCTTGTGCCATCATATAAAACTGTCATGCAATTTTAATACATCCGTTATAGTAATTCTGCCAAGTCACGATCTCTGATTAAACAATCAGTGTAAATGATATGCAAGTAATTTCTTAGACACACTGGACTACCCTGGGAACAGCACTGGAGGCACTTCAAATGCTTGTAATGTGCCAAAAGACAACTCTGCCTTATAAGTAGCAGTGGAAGCCTGCCAACCACCTTCCAGATTGATTCTTTTCATTACCAAGAATAAATGGTTATAGAATCTATGAGTAACGTTGTGACTGGCACTGAAGACGCTAATGTATTTAAGTTGAGTGTGGGAAAGTAGAGTTTGACAGCCAAGCAGGTTGTGTCAGGTGTAGTGTTTTACATTTACACAATGAAAAGTGCCCAAAGCTGCAAGAAGGGACATCAAAAGGCTTCACTGCACTGGCACTGCTCACATTTTTCAACCCCTTCCTGTTAGCACTCTTTGATTTGCAGTGCTATATATTTGTGGTAACAATCAGCATATATAACAGTAGCTGCTTTAGCTTTCATGTAATATGCAAACACATTCTTAAAACATCATTGCAAGAACCTTTTTATATAATCATCCTGTTTACTGTATGTTTTATTACTGGAGAGAATTGCAGTGGTTTAGTTATTTCTTCATAGCTTACTTTCTTGCTTATATTAAGTAAACATACCAGAGGGTACAGATAGAGTCAAGATACAGCTGTGGCTGTCGTACCATTTGTCACTGCAGGCATTTATTTGATCTAGACGCCTGGGCCAACCTTCAAAACCTTGAGAGAGCATGGCAGACATTCAAAGCGGGAGCATGGTGGCGCAGAAATAAAACAAGCCTGTAGCCTTTCTGAAAGAACACCTGTAATAAGTGAAGCAGAGTCCTGGTACATTTGGCACTACTTACAGAAATCCAACTCTGTGATAGATCAGTATGACAGTAGGAATTACAAAACTGTCAAAAGTAGTCTTTAAGCATGAGCATGCAGCATTTGCTGGGCAGGCTCAAGTGATAATTACAGGATTGTGGTACTTTAATTTCTGCTGGTCTCTAAGCTTCAGAAGTGAGGGGCACAGACAGCATACCCAATCTGCTACTTGTGTTATAAACACAAAATCTCATCTCAATGCAAGCCAGTAATTTTACTGCTCGAAGAAACAGGAAACCTGTACCATTTATATTTCTTACTTTAGGTTGTTGGTTGAGGACATCAAAAACATCAGAAGGGAAAAAATGCAATTTCCACACTAAATGGCTATTTTAATATACTTTACAGCATACCAGTGTATTCTCAACTATGTTAGCAGACACTAGTGATAAAAGCAGTCAACGCAGTCAGCTGTATCGTCAGCTACTGCTAACCCAAGCCAAATATCAAGCAAGTGCAGCAGCACAAGAAATCCACATGGAAGTTTTGATCTGCTAGTAAAGAAGCATCAATTTTAAATACTGAGTCTGACAAGCAGGCATCCCAGTTGTGTTAGCGTGTATCTTAGTTAGCAAACAAACCAGGATCCCTCATCTGCTTCTGTGCACACTGCTT